CCATCCCAGCAGGCAATGTGCACAATTGAAGTACACAGTTTTACCAAACAAGGTTTTATGGTGAACATCTAGACTAATAACTAAGTATGCTAAGATGATTTGGGTCATTTTTGTTATTTGTGATTTAAAGGTTTGAAGTTTTGCATTCTCTGCCAGACTAAAATCAGGAAGATAAGCCTGCTGTTGTCTCTGCCGTCTGCCATCCTGCTGATCAAGATAGCTGGCAGAGCAAGTACAATTAAGTAAAATGATGAGTCTTATCAGATCTGTGGGATGGCAATGCATTACAACTGAATGTATTTAAAGTAAATCTTCACATATTGGTTATTTCAATTGCATTTTAAATGAAGCAGGAGCAATTATTTATGCTTATGTTATTAATTAACAAAAAGGCACTATATGTATTCACTACATTCGAATGTGTTAAATGTGTTGCAGGCAAAATTAAAATAAACTGAAAATATCTGTGACCTCTAAGATGGAGTCCAAATTTCACTTTATGAAACAATAACAGCGAAATTTTTCTTGGTTTGAACTCTCAAACACCATCAGGGCCCAACAAATGGCATTTTAAGTACTCATAATTCAGAAAGAAATGAATGGATACACTATGGAGTTTGCATATATTTGTGGGGGAGGAAGAGAAATGAAAAAAAAGAGTTTCAGAGCAGGGAAAGTAATTTGGTCTATGAAACCTTGGATATATACCCTTTGGATCAAAAAATAATTTTCAGTAAACTGGGACTAGTTGGGGTGTGTGTGTGTGTGTGTGTGTGTGTGTGTGTGTGTGTGTGTGCCATCTATCTTTTGCGCTTTTGAGAACTTCCACATTTGTCAAAAGAAAAAAATAGTGAGAATACCAAAAAGAAGATACCTTCAAGAATACTGTTTTAACTGAAAAACTGAAAAATAAGGATTACTCGTGCTAGGGTTTAGAACATTAGCACTTCCAATTGTGGTCGGTCCTGGCTTTCATGCTTGAATCTAGTTTTATGAGCTAGAGCAGTTCTCTCTTTATTTAGATGGAGTCCAATTTATTTTAGCTCAAGATTCTGTCTTTTAAAATCTCATTCTGAACTTCTCAGAAAACCCAAAGGTCATGTTTACAGAATAGACACACAGCAGGATTAAGTAAATGTGGAGCTGCTTGAGCAGTAGGTCTTCTTTATTCTATCAGAGATGCTGTTAATCTTCAGATAATTATTTTTTCAATATAAAATATACATCCTGGATTAGGAAGACAAACTCCCCACCTGACACACTCAAACAATTTTGTAAGAGCTAATTTTAGATTGTTCCTAGTTTTTTCATTTCATCCTCAGGGACATCTAAAATTTTAAGAATTCTCCGGTGCCTCTTAAGACCCTCAGGTAAGCAAACACTCCTCTACCACACAAACCAACAAACCTAGGGGGTTTTGTGAAAAAGATGAGAGCAATGGTATTTTTTATCTTTCCTTATTGAAGCTGGTAGATGAGAAGAGGAGTCTTATGAAAAATTGATACTGTAAGATGATGGGATATAGAAGAGAAGGCAAAAAAACTACGATGACAACAGGACAAAAGGAGTAAGTTGCACTATCATCGCAGTATCTGACACACTGTAATTTCATTGATGGCTATAACCACACTGTTCTTAGCCCTTATGTTTCATAGCGTGGTCTTTCTGTATGCCAAGTTGTGTCACCAGGCTTTTGTTTTAACTATAATATTTCTTATTTATGGATCTCTTTGTAGTTCATAAAACATTTTCACATTATTATTACTTTACTTGCTTCTTACCATAACCCAGTGAGATAGGTAAGAAAAGAATTTTCCACATGTTATCAATCAGAAAAAAGAATCACAGATTATGGTCATACGCTCCTAAGTAGTTTTGAGGCCAGAACTACTAGTATAATATACTTTTCTTTCTACCAGACTTTGATTCAACACACGCACACACACACACACATTATTTAAAAGAAAAAATAAACGTTCTAAGGAGAATTTTCTCCTCATGAAAAGTATTATATTTCCAGTATCCCATTCTCTTTTTGAGATTGGTTAATATATACAGGTGCTATTTAACTTAACAAACATAAATAGTGTTTTTTTAAAATGATAGCTTTTTAAATCATAGAAATCTTTCACTTCAAGCAAATATAGAAAAAAAAATTCAGTTTTCTGGGAAGAAGAATTAGGGGATTACATTGCTTTACAAAAAGACTCTAAATAGGATTGTTTTAAATAGCAAAATTCTCCAGCACATCTAAGATATGTTGATTTATGAAAATCTGATTCATACAGAACTTTACAAGAATACATCTGTTATAGAAATCCATGCTCACCTGTAATTTACTCTAGAGGGAACAATTGAGTGATAATAATAATAACATACTCATATAGTTCTTCGTTATATATTTTAAAGTGCTTTCCCCTAATTTATTGCATTTGTCTTTGGCAACCTTGTAAGGGAGGCAGAGACGATATTATTATCCCTTCTTTACAGATGAGAAATTGAGAGGTTAAGTGACTTGCCCAAGGTCAGACAGACTATTCATTCATTTACTGCTATTTGAGTGATGTAGTTTTAACGGAGTAGTCAAGGAAGTAAGGTTCTTCCTCCTGATTTTTTTTTAACCATCTGTGAAGGCTATTAAAACAGAGGTAGATGATCTCACAAATATAATGTTGAACAAAAGAAGCCAGACACAAAAGTGTACATACTGTAGAATTCTATTAATGTAAAATTCAAATGCAGGCAAAATTAATCTGTGGTGGCAGAAGTCAGAATAGTAGTAAACTTTAGGAAGAGGGGGTGGTGACTGGAGGGTAAAGGGGAGTTTCTGGGGTATGGTATTCTATTTCTTGACCTGGTTGGTGGTTACATAGTTATGTTCACTGTGAAAATTCACTGAGATGTAGACTTATGATCTGTCTATTTTTCTTTATTATAGAAGTTTTCTTTTAAAAATGGATTTTACATCTTTAAAAACAGTACATTAGATCATTATATTACACATATCCTTTGAACATTTGTGATTTCAGTTAAGTTTCTTAGCTGCTTTTTTTTAGCATTTTATTTTATTTTATTATTAGTTTCAAGTATACAGTACATTGGTCAGACATTTATATAGTTTATAAAATAATCCTCTTGGTTACTCTATCTTCCCTCTGGCTCTACACATCTTAGCTGCTTTTTTAAAACGAGAATATGAACTAAATTTGAAGAGTTTAAAGACAGAAGTTTATAGAAAAAATGCCCGGGATCATCTTCACCTCAAAAGCTGCTATAAGAAATGGGAAACTGGATCACACTAAGATAATAACAATTCATTTAAGACTAGATGAAACATTATATTTAATGATATTAAGCTAGGAATTTTAGGGAAATGGGATTAAGTTGTTATTCACATCATGTATTCTAGAAAGAATATATGAATTTAAGGAAGATAAGATTGTGGTTTAAAAAACATCCATTGTTATTTTAGAGTATTGTATATTAGTATGCTGCAGTGGGCATCAGGGTAGAAAGCCAATGGTAATAATAAAAATCCGATAGGATGTGCATACGTGGGAACAAACAAGGGCTCCTAAGAGTCCCAAATAGCCTTCAATATAAGAATGTCTGGGAGGAATATGTTTTGACCATTTTCCAGTATTGAAATCACAGGTGCATTCGACTGCCTAAAGCAATTTCAAAATTTATATTGTCGTTTTCCAAGAAAACTTCACTTTCGGTGACCCTATAACCCTGACAGCTAATGCTCTTGTATGCAAATTTACCACTAATGACTAATGTTTTGTTTAATTTTTACATATGATCTTTTGTTTTTGCTTCATTTTATGCTATTTAAAAAGAATTCGGTATGGTAACTCTCCACCCCAAATTATCTGTATCAAATACCTATCTTGATATCATAGATCAGAAACAGAGAATTTCCAGGCGGAGGGTCAGTTTTGGTCCCAGGGCATTTTCGTTTCACCAACTATGACTACAGCTCAGTGAGTATATCCCCCAGAGGGCTGTTGAAGGAATCCAGTGCTCAGAGAAGACTTTGACCTTTAACCCATTCACACATTTGTTTTAATTCTTGACCAACTCTGTGTTCCTGTGCATCAGTTTCACTAGGATTTAGCTAACTGTTTTTTTAAAAATAAGTTTTATAACCTGAACACCTGCATGCTGCATGTCACATATTACATAGAATGGACATGATCAAGCTTATTGTGATCACTGCATCCAGGACAAGTATGAGACATAGCTGTCCTGTGGAATTCAGGTTATTAGAGTGTCACCCTGTGTTTCCCAATATTGTTGATGTCATGAAATATATCAGAAAGGCAGCTCCAGTGACAGGGAAGAGAGAGACAAAGAGAGTCAGGTTGAAAGGCTTCTATTCTTCACGGCTCAGCAAGCTGCCCCAACTTCTCTCACTAGCAAAATATAAACAGTCATGAGGGATGGAGACCGGCGTGTCTACGGGCCAGTCCACATGCAATCATTTCATGATCTTTTTTAATGACAGAGATCAAGAAGGCACAACTGTTTCTCTCTGAGTGGAGCCCTTCGACGAAAGAAAAACTCCTTGAATCACTGTGGAGGGTTTACTATACTAATTTACAGTTAGTCACATCTGATCCCTTAGAAACTCATTTTATTTAAGCTAACAGGCATGTCACTGAATTTAACTGCCCTTACAGCACAGCAGCTAAAAGAAAATTCTCTCCTTTGACCCTCCTGAGCCTCTCCCTGTCACTCTTCCTACCTAGAATCTCCCTCTCTTTTTCTCATGTGTTGGTTCTGTAGATGTGTTGTCTTGTGGCCTTTACTTTATAATAAGCCATACTACTTTTTAACTTTTACTAATTTTCACTCTCTTATAAGTCATATGACAGATACATTTGTTATACATAATCTTGACCACAGTTTTGAATAACTAGGACTTCCATTATTTTTTATAGAAATTTTGTGGAAATTTATAGAATTTAATGAAAAAGATAAATTGAGATACTTGCCATGAAGCCTTGTTCTCCTGGTTTCCCTGGTTCACCCTTAAAAAAGAACAGTGATAATTTTATTAATGCTATCAACATTAAAAAACCATTCCAATCATTTTTTTTTTTCTTTTTCACAATACTCACTGAGGTATATCAATGTCAAATATACTTTTCAGGCTAGTAGAGGAATGCAAACACAATGCAATGAAAAGAAAGCCAATATTCTTTCTTCGAATGCATTTTATAAACATTTTAGAATTTAATAAAATGAGTCTAGGTTATAGCAGAGATTTAAGATTATGCCAGAATGTATTCTAAATAAAATTGGTAAGAGTGATTATATTGTAAGTCAATAAATGGTCCTAGAAGAACATTTAATTGCAATTACAGTAATATCTCATTTATTATATCCTATTTATAATGACACAAGATGATGACGTGGTCCTCTTTATGAGGACTCAAAAATTCCATATACAGGAGAATGAGACAATTGCTCTTAGTGCAGGAATGAAATTAAAAAAGGAGCATAGATTGATTTTGAATTTTGGTTATCCTGGATTAATAATGGCTGAAGTAACATACTTTAATAAAATTGATAGCATATATTAAAATAAGATTTTCTGCCATGCCATATCACTGCCATAACTTTTTAATACTAAGATTTATACAGAATTCCTTATCATGTTTTGTTATACTATTATAATGACAGTCGTTGGCTACAGGTATTTTTTGGAAAAACCGTGCTTGTAATGCCAAGATGTTGTCAGACTTCAAAAATAAGTACTTCTCAGTTTATTTTAATAAAATCTTTCCCCGTGGTTATAGTAGTTTATAAAAATCAACTCTGAGACTGTAAATTCAGTCCAAATTATATTTGTGGAATTAAAAAAATACTCATACCTTTATGTAAAAAGTTCTATTTCTTCCTTAGATGAATAAACTACATTCATTTAAAGTATGACATAATATTTGGGTGGTTTATAATTTGTCATACTTCAACTTTATCTTGTTTCTTAAAAGTAATTTATGCCTTGAATTTTCTGTCGAGTATACAATACCCAATGATCTGACTAATTCTGTACCATCAAAATAGTTTTAACTACTCTTATTTGAAGAGACACCCATTGTATCTTTGTTGGCAACAAGCAATCAATCAGGGAGCTTTAAATATCCCTAAAGCTGTGGTTTCTATCTTTTGAGACATCATCCCAAGAGAATAGACATTAGAAGACGGTTTTAAGATAAAACCACTATCTCTGATGGTTCAGTGAAAACAGTCCTAACAACCAGTAAATCATATGTTGCAAGTTAATTTCTCATTTCATACAACAACTAACAGCAGCTTTCAGAAAGAGAAATAGTGCTTATAGAAGGTTGTCTCAGAAAAGTTTTAAAGTACGCTATAGTTTTACAGAGAATCATTCTTTAAAAAAAATACACAATATATGAATATAAAAATAAACTATACCAAAACATTAATGACTGTGGCTGAATTTTTTTCTTTTTGGTTATTTTTATTTTCAAAATTTTCTACTTTATGGATAGTCTCGTTATTACTTTTGGACTATAAAAACACTAATGAAAATAAGTTAAAGCAATACATTAAATAATTTAATTCATCAATAAACCTGAATTTCGAATCCTAATTTCAAAATATGTGTAAAATATTTTTACTTTTTCCATGTATTTCTTTAAATTTCTGGGTTGCCTCTACCGAACTAAACCATTTATCTAGTGTCCTGTACTGCTATATTATTGACACTTGACCAGTCTTAGTAACTGAGTACTTAGTAACTTCGTATTTAAATCTAAGTATTAAGATTGCTTTTATTTTTTTGTGAAATATATTGGGGTAATGGAATTCACTTTAAAATCATTTCTATTGATAAGCTTCACACACAAAGGACAAATAATATTGAAACCCCACCCACTGATGTTTTAAACTTTTACTATTTTATTAGCAATTCTTTTTGGTCAAGTTATTTACAAAGGATTAAATATTAGATTTAACTTCTTTACTTTCCATAAATCATGTGGGACTTTACTGTCTCTGCTATTGATCCTTTTGAAAATGTCCTGAATCTCCCAACTAGTTTTCAATCTAGTTTCCCACCTAAACCAAAGGCACTGATGTACTCTATGGTAGACAGGTCACAAGTGGCATCAGGCTCTCCAATCACAGACTTCTGGAGGCTTACCTGAAAACCAGCTTAGTTGCTGTCTCCAGGTTTCTCTGTGGTTTGTGTGAGTTCCCATAGATTGAATGGTAAAGCAGAATCCTGCTGGCAGTGCCCTCTCTGGTTGGGGACTTTCTCAGCAGCCCACTTTCCTCAACCCACTCCACTCACTTGACCCCCTAAGTCTACGGCCCCTCCCAAACCCACTCCATCCCAATTCTCAGCCCTTAAAACAAAACAAAACAAAACCTGTGAGAACAACCAATCCAAAAAGCAACTCACGGGCACTCCTGGCATTCCACGGGGGCCATCTTTCCCTGTGTCCCCAGGAGGCCCTCTTGGGCCTGGAGGGCCTGGGGGGCCTGGAGGTCCAGCCTGTCCTTGGTCACCCTACAGTGGAGAAGGGGACAGACCAACCATGACCAGAAATGATAAAGACCCAAGTCTTATTTTCAACGCTTAAAATTTGTATTATCTAATCCACATTTACACTATGAAAGAACCAGAGCAACCAGAAACATGAAGCCTGTAGGCAATTTGCCTGCCAGCAGGGATCAAATAAATATTCATGCTGGGCGAGCAGAGTAGAGCTATTAAAATCAAAGCAGCTCAGGAAACAGCACTCTCAGCTCTTGGAAATCGTGTGTCTATTATCACTTTTTCAGAGCTAGGATAAAATTTTTGCATAACTTTATTCACAACAATGCTGCATCAGTTATATCTACCTTGTTTAATAAAATGGCTGCATTTGAAGCTGGACAAATGTGTTTACTTTTTCATAACCTATAAAATTAAGCATACAGCATAGTCATGCTGTATAATAATTTATACATTACCAAAGCTAGAGACCGTAGAAACTGGGTCTATAACTAGATATAACTTAAGTTGTCTCTCTCTCTCTCTTTTTTTTTTTTAAATTAAAAGAACCTATGTAGGCTCTTAATGCCTTTTTATTTTGGTAATTTCATATATATTTCAAACAAATGCAGTTTACCAAACATAATTTTATTTTAAAATATTTCCAAATAAATACCCTCCCATCCTTACCCCCACCCCACCCCCACACACGAGAGATAAATGGCAAAGCAACAGTACACAGAGTAATAACTGAATGCAAAGAAGAAATCAGACTTGAGCAAGAATAAGCACTACCTTAATCAGGCGGCGTTTAATGAGCTGCTGATCAGCAGAGAGAAACCCATGATTGATTTTAGGAAACACCATCTGATCAGTCAGGTGAGGTCAAAGGTTGAAGTTCAGAGATGAGAGAGTTGAAGAATAGACATCAGAAGGCCCCAAGAAAGAAATAAAGATATACACATTAGCCTTATAATGACTATTAAATAAAATAGAACTGGCACTTGTGTCTGACATCAGACCTTTTGTTTCTTCTTGAAAGAAATATAACCCTGAAACAAGATGGTAAGACCAGATTTTTAGTAAAAATGAATCTTTTTTTTTTTTTTTTTTTTGCATCCCATCATTTTGCTGTGGGTGTTGGGCCTTTACTGTAGTATATTAAAGAACCAGGTAAGCTCAAGCCACCTGCATTCTGCACTTTGAGCAGAAAGTCCACAGACAAAGTGCCAGTTCAATTTCCATCAGACTTGTCAACCAGCATAATGTGGCATGAACGTGGCTGTCATTTTATTGATGCCAAAGTCCAAAGTAATCATCCCATCATTTTGCTGTGGGTGTTGGGCCTTTACTGTAGTATATTAAAGAACCAGGTAAGCTCAAGCCACCTGCATTCTGCACTTTGAGCAGAAAGTCCACAGACAAAGTGCCAGTTCAATTTCCATCAGACTTGTCAACCAGCATAATGTGGCATGAACGTGGCTGTCATTTTATTGATGCCAAAGTCCAAAGTAATCAGGATTATTTAATTGACTGAAAAATATCACAGAGCTTTGCAATGCATGCAAATTAAACCACTGAGGTGTGGCACAGTCCTAGAGAGTCGTGCCTGCCTCTCTTCACTGTCCCTGCTCAACTTCAATATCTTCCTCTCTTATACGCTCAAGATTTTCCTTCTTAATATATATTTGACCTCACTGATGTAGGTGAGGTCCCAAGGACCCAGCAACCTGATGTGTATGATTAAAGGGAGCAGTGACACTTGGCAAATCAACCTAGCTGTTCTTGCTCGCTTATGCTGGTTGCAGGCTCTGACGGAGTGGGCATGGATGCCAACCACAAACCTTGACGGTGAGGATCTGATTACTGTGCAGAGCAGCAACTGTGGGGAAGCCTGGCAGACCCTATGGACATGGCACAGCACCAAAACATGACACAAACGTCACACAGACATTTCACCGGTGGACAAACAAAACAAGTACGTACCTAACACCACCCTGACCCAGCTCTAAGTCTTGCCTTGCTTGACGTACCATAAATAAAATCAAGGCTCCCAAATGAACCATTCCTTAAAGGCAATGGCCCAGTTGAGAACTCCTTGTACCTGCTTCTTGCGGCACGTACAATTAGATCTGTGTATACACTTTTAACATGTCTGGAATCTTACATATAAAATGTTAGTACGAAATGGAGATAACTACAGACACTGTTATATAAACAACACTGCAATTTCCCCTTATTGATATTGTGTTTACTCTACAACTCAGGACATACAATATTTGTATTAATTCTTTTTTGGACTACCATGAACAGAATTTTGCAGTCAGATCAAAATATTATTTCTCAGAATAAATGCAGTATGCCTCACAAAACAGAGTCTTACCACCCACATATCAAAATTTCTCTCTCCAATTATATGATGATTCTCAGATCTTTCCTGTTTCAGGAATTCCTGCAGAGGTGGTAGATGGAAATCTGTCTCTTATAACATGTGTATTTCATGTCAGAGGGAGTTATGGTCACACTCTGTAGTAATTACTTCTGTCACATAACTTTTCCAAAAGAACTTGACAGTTCACACAACCCCTTGAAGCAAAAAGGTGGTTTTGAATTCCTGAACCAAGGAGAATGGGGGAGAGAAATTTTGGAGTCCTGTGCTTCACTAACTGTACTAACTCATCCTCACAGGCATTATGAATTGGGTAGGTCTGAGAGAGAAATTTTGCCTTTGTTCTATTTCTTTTCCAACAACGCGTCATATTGGAGCCTTTATTATCCCCCCCTTTTTTTTTCACACAGAGCACGTTTACCACACAAATAAAACAAACACCAACCACGGCAATAAATGGCCTCAAGGGTCTTCAGGCTGCCTTTCTACCTTCTTTCCTTTTCATTGTCCCCTCTTCCTGCCCAAATCTATTTTGAGAATATTTTTAGGAAAGGCCAGAAAATTTTTAGTTTTTTAATTTTACTAGTTTTGGTATATTTTCTCCCATATTTTCCCCCTTATTATGAATATTTTTTTTCATTTTAAGGAATTATGTTTTTAGTATGAGACAGCTCTTCAGCACTAATGCCTTTGATTCTCATTCTTTAGAGCTGGGCCTTCTCAGGAAGCAAAGCAGAGGAAATCGTATCCCTTTAGCCAAATCCTTTCTGATAAGGCTATTAAATGGCTGGGTAGTTTCAAGGTGACCTGTATCCTCTTTTTCTTCTCCCTAAGTAAAAGTCTTTTAAGCATAGACTCTACGCAAATTCAGAAATGCTACAAGTTGGAAAACAGATGTGTACAATTTGCTTTTGTTTTACTATGGAATATGAGTTTAAAATGTTATTAGATGGTAATGTGCCAGCATCTTTCCATCTGTGACTCATTAGCCCTATATTACACAGTCAGAATTTTATATATAAACCTCATATTTATGTAACAAAGAACAAAAACAGATACAAACAAGAAGTCTATGAGGGATCAGAATCTTGATTAGTGGCGATAAATCATAATGTCACTTTAAACAGGATTATCTAACAAAAATAATTCAAAATTAAAAAAAAATTTAACAGCACACATGGTAGGCCTTACAAATGTTTTGAAATTTGAATATATAAATAAGTCACTTCTTGTACTCATATCTGAGCATGACCAGTTTACAGTTTGATCATATTTTCTAAATGTTCAAAAGAAAGTATTGTTTTAGAATACTTTAGTTTGGTTTCCAGTGTTAACCAGATCTAAAGAGAAGGTGGATAGGTATTTCTCACCTCAGACGGATCCTTTTCCTCAAATAGAAATTCTCTGAGGAAGGTGATTTTATGTTCCTCAATCATCTTAACTGTGAACATGCTACCACTTAGGCGCTTAGAGCTACATTATAAAGACTTCATTACTGATCTAGGCAAAAGGGCTTCAGGAGTTTACATGTAGCAAAGTAGAAAGGAGACATGGAGAGGAATTCTCTTAAATTGTAACAAAAATCTTATGGCCTGGGCTTTAATGTCCTAGGACCCCGTGCTTTTCAAATTAGGGTAATACTTGAAGGGTACATGCCAGGGTCTTGGGAGTGTCTAAAGGCAATGGTAAACATGGTATACTTTCCTTAAGAGTCAATTTTAATTAATGGTAAATAATTTTAAACATTTTTATGTAAAGCAAATATTGACAAAATTTGGAGAAGAATGTAAAATTCGCACACTTTTCAAAATTTTACTCTTTGCTGGTGGTAGAGAACCTCTTCTCATCGGGGGTGACCTCCAGATCACACGTAGACACAGAGCTGAGTGTCTGCTTCCTGCAGGTGGCCCCTGGAGAGTAAGGCTGAAAAGCACTGGCGCTGAATGCTTATCTGTAGGTCATGGCTTCATGTGGCCATGACTGCTAGGCTCCCCTAGCTATTCACACAGAAAGAGCACTTTTTCATTAACTGTGCCATTTTCCCACAGTGTCATTAGTCATAGTTCTTTCTAAATAAATGGAATTCACATATTTTACTTGGTGTTACATCTTGGAAAATTTGCCTGGTACACAGATGGTTTGAGTGGGTGTGGAAAAAAAGTGTGTCTCCAGAAAAACATGGAGAAAGAGTCCAGGAATAAGCTGAAATACTAAAATAATTTGTACACTTTTTACCCCCAAATATTTTGAATTCTTAAATCGGATATACAAGAGCATAAAACTACTCTACATGACACATTTTCCTCCTGAGAGTCTAAAGACCTGGACTCCTTCATGAATCTTCCTGATGTGCAGTGAAGTAGGTAACGATCTGAGAACCAGTGTTTTCACACCATTACAGAGGGAGTTCTATCTTCCTTTAGTACCTTCTAGAAGGAAAGATGAAGCCTACCTCAAAGGGATGATGAACAAATAAATAATTCATAAGAAATACTTCCAACTACTTAGAAGACATAAATTCAAGATGCTATGGTCATTTTTATTGTGTGCTCAGTAATGATGAGTGTTATATGATTACACTACAGTGAGAAAATTTTGTGTTTTGTCAAAAGTATTCTGTGAGGCAATAAGAGAGCCAGAAATTCAATCCAGGATTTCACATTTCAGACTTTGTCATCATGCAACTTACGTGTTTATAATGTCTTTCTAGTTTATTTGTAGTTTAAATATTAGAAAGCTTAAAAATTGACTAACATTCCACAATATTTAAGAAGTATTTATTGAGTGCCTTCTGTGCAGCAGTCGCTGTGTTAGGCCCTGGGGATCAAATGGTGAGCAGGACCCCAAGTTCACACAGGGTTTAACATCTAGTGGGGAAATGAGAAAAAATAAGCAGGCAGTAATCATACGGAGTGATAACTGTTATGACGGAGAAGTAGAGAGGCTACAAAGGAAATAACACGGGCACCCAACACTGGGTTTGAGGAGCCACGGAAGATCTTCCCAACAAGAGGATGGCAGTTGGCAGAGCAAGAAGAAAACCAAACACAGAGAGACTGTTTAGGAAAATGTTACAGTAGTCTAGGTGAGGGACTGTGTCCTAGAACTAGAGGAGGGACAAATCGATAGTTTCAAGTGATATTAAGGAGGTGTAATCTGCAGGACTTGTTGCTTGGCTGAGAACATAGGGGACAAAGAGGAGCAGAGAACAGTTCTTGGTCTATTGCTTGAGGAACAAAGAAGATGGTAGAGGGAATACTAGAAGAGACTGGGTTTTCTGGGCAGGTAGGTGGTTACAGATGATGAATTCAGTTAGGGACTTGCCAAATTGGAGTTGTCTATGGACAGCCAAGGGGCAGGGGTTGGATATACACATAAAATAGTCAGGAGACAGGTGGGAATCATGAGTCACAAGGCTGTGTGAAGTCATGGAGAGAAGCTGTAGGCAGAACATACCTGGAAAAAAACACTTGGAAAGACTTTAATTTAAGGGATGAGCAGAGGAAGACGCAACTACATAGAGGATTAATATAAAGCAGTTGTAGAAGCAGGAGGAATGCTAACTCTCTCCTGTAAAAGCAAATGATTCAAAATGATAGACGCACATACTTGACCTCACTGTTTATTGCATCATTAATTGTGTTGTATAAATGTATATAAATGACCCAGAGTAAAAATAAGCTAACAATGGCCAATGTCAGTTAGTGTGCACTGATAAGTCCAGGAAGTATGTCTACCAGAGGTTATAGAGGTATGAAGGAAAAAACAAACTATTATTTTAATTATAAAGGTGGATAAGGGACCCCAACAGCAAATCATATCGGAAGAAAAAATGTGTTCTGCTGAGAAATGAGAATCTCTGAGTTTCTCGATAATGTAAACAGTATCATGATTCTGTTTGTCCAAAATACATCATGCATTACAACACAACCATTACAGAGGGTATGTATGCAACATAAATAAGGATAAATATTCCTAGAAGTTGATAAAATGATTTCTAGCTAAGAGAGACCAGATGGGGAAATATTATAAATGAATGCAAAAATATTTAGGTAAAAGAATAACTTTAGTTTAACAGCAGGAACTGTTAGAAGGCTAAATAAGGAAAGAAAAGAAATTTAAGAGAAAGAAATTTGCTGTTAAATCATTCCATATTGCAGTAGATGGTATAATATGTCTGAATAGAAAAATTAACTATATAAAGCTCTAAATAGATAAAGGAATCCTTTGAAAAACCATAATAGGAGCATTTGGGTCTGTGAAAAACTGAATTTATAACTGAAAAAGACTGCCTTATGGAAGTACTAATTATGGAAAGAACTGGGTTTCTATAATTGAATTATATAATATTGGCTCAAAAAGTTTTTTATTGATACTCTAAGTTCCATTCTATTTTATGCTATCATAAATGTTAACCCCAGTCACCCCAGAAATTAGCTTTTTATATGTAAATGATAAGTGTGAATTTACAAATGATTTAGAAGAAAAAGAGAGCAATGTAATCCTTACATTAAT